GGCACCCCAAAATCAGCGGCTGCTGAAACTGCCCAGCAGCAGCTGAATCAGGGACGCCTGGGGCAGAGCCGGACTATCGTAAGGGGGGGGCTATGAGGTGTCTGGGGTGGCATCCCCTCCCACCCACTCCAGACCCCATATAGCCCCCCCTTCTGATAGTCCGGCATATCTGATAATCTGGCACCTCCTGGGTTCTAAAGGTGTCAGATTATCGGAAGTTTACTGTATCTTGACCTAAATGTAGACCAGACATTACTTCGCTCTCAAACAATAAAGGGAAATGGGGAGGGATTCTCTTTTCCTCACAGCCTCCATCGCATTCACTGTCAATGACTGTATTTGAAGCTGATATATTAAGTAAAAAGGTCATTGGTGTTAAATTAAAAAAAATAAAATATACAATCTTACCACAGCAGAAAATGTCCAGGGTCCAAATATCCCCCCTTCTCCAAATACCGGCTCAAAGAAGGGAACGATACACAACAACATGGCAGAGGACATTGGTGCCTGATAGTACAGCAACTGCATAGAGTTTACTTGCAACTCATGCTGCTTGGCTCCTACCCACTAAAACCAAGAGATAAAGTTGTTAAACATGAGGAAAAGTAAATCCTCATCTCAAAGCAATTTGGTTACTAATAAGGATCTCATATAGCCAGCACTACATAATAAAATAGAATGACTGTTCTATTTTCCACTTCCATTTACTGAAAACCAAATATTTTAATCACGTGTGTTAGTCTTCCCCCCGTTTGGAGTAGACAGTGGTAAGCCACTGGCTGCAGATATACGAGGAAGGAATAGAATTTGCTGAAAGAGCTTTTTCATGACAAGGTCTGGTAGTTAATACTTGAATCTTTCTCCCTTAATCTTCTTTCTATTCTTTGTCTTCTCCCATATTCTAAATCTGCCACTCGAGTAAGGACAGATAAATAGGTGGGTTTGAAAGGAGCCAGTTTTTTCTCTCTCACACCAGTTCTGGATCTAGTCTAGGGATCAGTACCTTCCCGGAATAAGAGCAAGCAATTATTACAGAAAAAACTTCTCTCATCACCTTCCTACTACTATCGGGTGCCCGAGTACAATTATTAAAGTCATAGCTGGATGCATCAAGTTACTTGCATGCAGTTTCCACAAATTGTGTGAAAGCATGCAACATTTGAACAGCATATTTTAGGCAACTCTTTACACCAGCCTTCAATCCTTCCAAATTACTTTGCCTCATGCAGAAGTCTGATTTGTCTTTATGTACCCTAAGTTTCACCTCACAAATCAGGCATAAATATACCAAACTGTCACAGCACTCTTACTAAAAAACTGATTACTTTTGCATTTCTAACAGTTACAAAATAAATCAAATTGAATATAATTATTATACTGTATACACAGGAATGTAAGTACATAGAACAGTGTAAAGTTATTATCTGTATGAAATTTTAGTTTGTACCAACCTTACCACAGTTACTTTCTCTATGCACCCATCTGAGTTGACATTATGATACATATGCTAAGCATGAATATTTTTAGAATTCCAGGTTTTTCCTTCCTTGCATACTAAACTTGATTTTGATATTGATTATAACTGAAATTTTGAGTATGTATAATTTAATTGTTGTTTTCTTAGCATCTATGATTAGTAACATGATTATAAACAAAAAGTTCTTTAGACAAATTATTTTCAAAGCACTGATATTTTACTGCATTTAATTATAATAAAGCCACCATTTAAAAAAGAGCATTTACTGTCAGTAAATTTATGACACACAACTTACTAGAGTGAAATAACCTCTATTTTATATTAAAATATAACTATGATTATGCTTAATTCTATGTAAGGGCTTTTTAAGAAAGTAACTTTGCCTATTTCTCATAGAATACTAGAACTGGAAGGGACCTCAAGAGGCCATCAAGTCCAGTCCCTTGCCTTCACGGCAGGACCAAACACCATCTGTAATATCATCCCTGATAGATATCTGTTCTCCTCCTTTTTCATAGATTTTTAAGGCCAAAAAAAAGCCCACCATTGTAATCTAGTGTGACAGTCAACAGAACCTCACCTAGTGTTTTCTACCATAAGCCCAAAACTTCAGTTTGAGCTGTAGTTTATCTTTTTAGAAAGATACCAGTTTTGATTTAAAAAGACTTCACGAGACAGAGAATGAACCGTGTTCCTAAGCACATTGTGCCAACTGTTATTACCCTCATTGTTACAAATGTACACATTAAAAATCAAGTCTGAATTAGTCGAGCTATAGCTTCCAACTACTATTACCTTTTTATGCTTTTTTTGGCTAAAGAGCTGTGAACTACCAGAAATTTCTTCCCTCCTACTATAGACCATGACTAACCTAAGACATACCAATCCCAGACCACCCAGTCTGCCTCCATTTTTTTCTGAAATTTGAAACAAAGTATCAAAACATTATATTTGTTATGAAATATGCATGTAGAGAAGAGTAAGTTACTAACCACTTGATAAAGGGATGTAACTAGAACACCAAGGGTAGCAAACACCATTCCAGGGAAGTTAAACTTCACATCATAATAGGAATTTAGGAATACACCTAAAGTTATGGGAATCTGTAAGGAAAGAAAATATTGGTTATTACATTTGCTGCACATGGAACTCAGTGGATCAACACTTGTTCTCCTCCAATGTTGTGGAAAGATCTGCAGGCACAGCCTCATCCTTTTAGCTGGAGTCACTCAAGCTCTGTAACCAGATTGTAAAGTATATTTCGTAAGACCTTCACCAGCACTAGATAATAAGATAGAAGCCCGATATAACACTGCTACAATCTCATGTTGATATGAAAAAAAATCAAACACAAGGCCCTGACACTGATCCACAAGATTCCATCGAGGCCCCTAGTGCTCAGAGATGAGGTGGCAGCATTTGGCGATAGTGCCTTTTTGCTTATTCCTGGCTCGTTGAGACGTTTCGCCACAGTCCACGCGAGCCCGGCTACACCACGCACCAACACACAGCAGCAGGCCAATGGGCATTAACCCCGTGAAGGCAGCAGTCCGCCCTGTTGTCTAAGGAGCCAGAGAAGCATGGAAATCCTGGTGACTCAGCTGACAGATTTACTCATCAGTGAGCTCTAAAGGGAAGGAGGCGACGTTGCTGGAAAGGGGGAAATAACCCTTTGGAAAGGGGTAAGAGGGAGAGGGGACAGGAAGCTGCCTCCCCTGCTGGGGGGAGGGGGCGCCCCGATCCGCCTCCCCGCGGCCAAGGCAGACAGGCCGGAGGGGGACCCCGGCTCACCAGGGTGAGCTTGATGCGCAGCGGGAAGCTCTTGCCGTAGAAGAGGCTCTGGATGGCCACGATGGCCGGCGTGGTCATGGCCTTGGCCAGCTGGTAGGTGCCGATGGTGTTGCTCTGCAGGGACAGGTTGGTGAACACCACGAAGCCGCAGAAGCTGAGCGCCAGGGGCAGCACCTGGCGGGGCCGCT